AGAGACTGGACAAAAATTGTGCACCTATGGATGAGGACAGTGGGGGGTGGGGCGGAGGGTGGGGTGGGAACCTGGTAGAGGGGAGCTATGGGGGGAAAAAGAGGAACAACTGTAATAATCTGAACAATAAAGATTTAATTAAAAAAAAAGAAATGTACAACATCACTGACTGTGTAACACACTACATTATGACACAGTATAACTTAGTGATTCTTTTAAGCTTTGGGTAATTTTTCTTGATACATGCTTTTAAGTTGATAAATGCTTTTTTAAATTATAAATGGATCATTTGTTTAAAGACAGAAATTTTAAAAAATGATGATGGGCATGATGAGTTTGATCCCATACAAGAGGTTAAGTTACATCGATAGCTACCAGCAAAACTACTAGCCTAGAACTAGATATGCACACACAAAAATGCATCTAGACACAGCCTTTATACACTTCACAAAAATCATGTCAAAATGACTCACAGACCTAAATGTTAGAAACTGAGTTAAGTGTATTCATTTGTAAAATATCTAATACACACACAACATAAGTATGTTCAGATCAAGTTTTTTGTCATGCAAATTATTTCTATATTTTCGTGTGTATAAATTATATGTGATACATAAATTATGATGCATATTAATGAATCAAGCAGCTGCAGCCCCAGCTAACTTAGGAACCGGATTGCCAAGGCCACTGTGCATGTCCAAGCACTACATTCCTCTCCCCACCTTTCTCCATGCCAAGAGACAGTAGCTCTCCTAAACTGTGTTCACCGTCACTGTATCCTTTTTCAAATAGCTTCATCACATACATGTGTATTGCTAAATATATGCTGTACTGGTTTCTCAGCTCAATAAAATCGATCTCATGCACTTTAGGAGGTTTACGTTTTAACCTCATTTAGATTCCTAGGACTTGTTCATTCATTTTCACTGCTGTGTAATATCCAATTATGAATACAAAACAACTTATCTAACCTCCTGTTAATGGACAATTGGGTCAGTTCTTGGTCTTTGTTATTATTTGGACAGTGGAGATCTCTAGGTCCTGGGAGTAGGTAGGGAAGTGAAGTAGCTTCGAAAGGAAGTGAACTAAGTCTTCAATAGGGGAGTAGGCTAAGGAAGAACTCTCTGGGTGTTTTTTTTTCTCCTTCTGAATTGCCCTGGGTGAATCACTATACCTACCCCATAACTGTTACAGGGTAGAAAAACAGTAGAATTGGCCAAGGACAGGAGGAGCTGGGAAGATAAGTACAAGTATGTACTGGCTTCAGCAGTCTCCATTCCCCACTCCCACACCCAGGGGCGATGTCAGTGAAGAAAGCCAAGGGCAAAGGAAAAGAGAATCCCAGTAAGCCAAGTTACTTAGTTAGGGAGAGGGATCATTTGTCTAGTGGCCACGCCCTATATTTTAACGCCAGCAGCATTCTTCCTATCTCTCCAAACCAGGATGGACTTAAATTTCTCCCGCCCCCACATACATTACTGGCCAAAGTAACTAATATCCCTGAGAGAATATAAGCTGACAGGGCAAAGAAATGGTAATCTGATAAACGCAACTATAATTAAATAAAGAAAATAAACTCAACAACCTCTATCAGATGAAACAAAATTAAATACTAAAAGATAACATTATACAGTAAGTATTAAAAGTACCTCAAAGAGAAAAGACAGGATATTGGTAATATGAAGAAGAAACAAGCAGATATAGTAAGAACCAACCAAAACTATTAGTTATAGAAAATGTAATAATGGTTGAAATAAAGGACTCACAGATATCCATCTAATTGCCAAAAGACAAATGAAATACAAAGTCAGCAGAAGAGATGATAAAAAGAAATGAAAGGCAGAATTGGAAGTGTCAACATCCATATTAACAGGCAATCCCAGGAGAGAAGGAAAAAAATTAACAGATGATAGAAAAAAAACTTTTAAATGGCAATCACAAAATTTCCAGTTAAAGATAAAAGGCATGCGATTCATGTATTAAAGAGATCACCACAAGAGAATTATGAAATACTACAGAAATTTTACATAGCTGAAGGTAAAGTTAAAGATAAATAACAGACTACAAAGAAATGGGGCTGGACCCCGGCATATGGCGCCCGAACAGGCCGAACAGGATTCCCCTAGGTAAGCCCCCCCCCCGCCCCCCATTAAGAAGCCCCACACTCGGGACGGATAGGACTCCACCAGGGTACTGCAGATCCCCCTATAGAAGATAAGTAGGGTAAGAAGGTGGATAGTACAGAACTTAGATTGAGAAGATGTGCCATACTGAGTCTAAAGGAAAAAGACTCTGTATTGATCTTTAAACACATATGCTTGCTAGCAGAGGAGTTAGGTTACTCCCAGTCAGACGGAATGTTTTATACAAGATGTCCATGCTTTTCTGAGGAAGGAAAGGTAAATGTAAAGGCATGGGAGAAGGTAGGCCCAAGGAGCCTTATCCTTAACCCCACTGCAGCCTTTCCACCCTGGGAAAGTGCAGGATTGGCAAGCTCTCCCTGGGGTGATAGATCAGGACTCAGGTAATAGC